TATGCTGAATTACGTTACCATTTAGACCCATTATTCAGCAAATTCCGCAAAAAATCACTAAAAATTCAACAAATTCAGCAATTCAACAGTAATTCAGCAAAAATTCAACAGTAATTACTGTTTTAAGAAAATTCAGCAAATTCAGCAAATTCTGCTGTTACCATTTAAGTTTGATATTATTCAGCAAATTCTACAAAAAATCAACAGTAATTCAGCAAATTCAGCAAAAATTCTACGGTTACCATTTAGACCCTAAGTTTGTTTCAAGGGATGGCCAATTCGGTTAATCTAACCCAAAATATTTGGATTATTTTCTATCCGAAATCTATTTACTTTAATAATAACCATTAATTTTGAATTCATTAAGGCTATTATGGATGTACAATACTATTTCAGTAGTAATGTTCCATTTCAAATATCATTAGATCAGAATACAAATATGAAGAAAGAAACTTAACTCAAAATGGTTGACCATTCCTAGTTTTTCGCATAAAGAAAATTTATAGTTTATTATAGGTGTTTAGTTTTTAGTTAATTCTGGTTGTCTACTTAGTTTACATTTTACAATTTAATTTGTTCGAAGGTATTTAAACCGAACTTCACCATAGGTAATTTTTCTAGAACAAAATTGACATAAGAAAAAAATCAATCTAAATCATAGAAATTGTTATTGTCTTATCATCAAAATATCAAAATCATGTATGTTATTGTTGTGAAAAATGTTTTTTATTGATCTTCTTAAAACTCGAAACAAAACCATTTTGGTATTGTCAATGTATTGTCAAATGAATTTGTCCTCGCTAAGATGTTGGTGTGAAAAAGATCATTGGTTTTTTTTTTATGTATTTTGTATATCTGTTCTTTTCTGTTATATAATTCATTTCAAATCAGCATCAATATCACAATTTATATTTATAAAGAAAAAAACATAATTCGAAACCGTTTCTCTCTCTCCCAAAAGTCGCATCCTACAACTTCCTGAGTTCATATTTGCTTTTGGCCGGTGGCCGGTGGCCATTAAACACCAACGTCGTGCCTTCCTTTTGTCATATCTCTCGATGATTCAGAGAATGATGTATACAGTTTGTGAAAAATCATGGAAGAGATCCAACATCGTTTCTCAGTTTGGATCTTCTATGGTTTTGTTGGTTATCACAAATTGGATTCTCTTGATGAATAATTCTCTTTGCTATCAAAAGAAGAGGTTTTTTCCAATCGATAATGTGTGGCTTACCTTCGGTATTATCGATGGTGTTGTTCCGGCGGTCTCCGACGGCGTATTTCCGTTGGATATAAATTTCAACGGTTTCTTTATGTTGGGTTTGTAATTGAATCAAATTCTGACATCATTGCTTTGGAAAAAACGACCACCATGAAAACCACCTTGGTATGGGCTACAAAATCTTGTCTTTGAAATCTCTAATTATACGTTGTATGGATTTATCCATGTGTGGTGTTTGGACGGTGTTGTCGATAGAATTATTAACAAGGTTTCGGTGAAGATATGGGAGCCATGGAAGATTTTTCACGATTTCATCAATCCTTATCCATGGTTTTCTTATTGGTTAGAGAAAGCGTTTCAATTGTTGTGGTTTCGGTTTGTTAGAAGCATTGGGGAAAAATCAAAGTCAATTTTTTTCAAAATGACTATGATACGGAAACTTTGGTATCATAATGTCAATATTTCAGAACGGTTGTCGAAAACATCGGGTTTTGTCATGCAGTGTAGTGTGTTATTTGGAGGTTTAGCCAAAAATTGCAATCCACGCACACAATTTGCATCAGAGCAAGATCGAATATATAGAAGGAAAGTAACAGATTTAATGTTCCGTTCGCGAGTAAAGCTTATTTACCGAAAGCATAGTCAAATTCATTTCTCTTATGTATCTTCCTCATCATATAGCGCATATATCTGCTTATGTAATAATTTGTTTTTCGAAAGTTTTGTATACGTACTTTGAAATGTTTAGCCGGAAAAAAAAAATCAACATCAATAAAACATAGTGTTAAAAGAATATTAAAATATAGAAATTGCGGACAAAAAAAAACTAATAAGTAGATTAATTTAGTGAGTTGTATTTCTAAAAAAATTATTAAATGAATATAATAATTTTGTTTTCATTCATTCGT